CATAATATTCAGTGTAATTTTCTCATGTTTTATAAACGAAATGTTTTTCTAGAAAACCAGTTTTTAAAACGGTTTCTTTTCTGAATTTCTTACTCTCATACTTCATTGATTAGAAACAATGAAGAGGATTATCGTCATGCACATAAATCAAAATGGCTAGATGTACACAATAATTTACAGCACATTATATGTTTGAATGCAGTATCGAATCAGGTCCCTACGCAAAAAATATTCGATTTTTTTCTAGCGTTAAAAATCAAAAAAGAACTAAAACGTGCACAAGATGAAATAAAAATAACTGGAGATAATTTTGTTGCCATAAGACGCTTTTCATTATCAACAAGAAAACATAAAATGATCTCTTACGACACGACTTATGTGAAACCGAATGATGCTGTTATCTGTGACCAATGGTCCGACGAACCATTAAGTATTCAAAGTATATTGTATTACTTTAATCAAAAGGATATTACCTATGGTTCAATTTATTGGATATTTTTAAACAACATAATTCAAGTTACAGAAGTAAATCGTAAACGACTGACGCGAAGAGCTCAATTACAATGTATGGCATCAGTATTAGTATCAATTGCATTTAGTACGCTTGGGTTGATGTTCTTCATTATGACAGTTAGTGTCATATCAACACTTTCTAAATTCCAAAGATAAATCTAATGTAGAATTCCAGTTTGTGCATTAAAACTTAATTACAGTTGGTTCTTTTCCTTGACAGAAGTAATACAATTAAACATTGGTCTCCTTAACGCCATAGCCAGACATTATGGAATTCCTTTTTTCACCGTCTACGTGTTATATCTCGGTCATGGTGATAGACAAAGTTCTAAAATTTTTACCACTGATAGATAACCTCGGGATATACTACCAGAACAATTTTTGAGAGCTTTGGTTCAACCCGTCGCAAGTTATCAGCAAACTGAAAGTCGTTACGGAACAAGAAATGGACTGTTTTTTCAGTAATTTCAAACTTCTTCGTTTTTCTATGAACCGGAGAATGACAGAAAAAGCTCTTCTAGACAAAAGTTGTGCAGCTTTTAGCCAACTTTCAGAACATCTACTTATTTTTTAAAATTGGTCCATGTCGCGAATAAAAATCTTAAAATACCTGTCGTTACGGAATTGCATCTGTTTCAAATCAGAAGGTTAAACTCGCTGGCAAAGGTACTCAGAAAAGTATATTCTTAATAGAAATAGGTAGTTTTCGACGCGCTCTTTGCAATGCACTGTGAAATAACGTTAAGAAATTCAGAAAAGAAACCGTTTTAAAAACTGGTTTTCTAGAAAAACATTTCGTTTATAAAACATGAGAAAATTACACTGAATATTATGAGAACGTGACTTTTTGCCATTACAAAGTCAAGATGTGTGTGCATCTTTTCACGAAAATACGAGTCTTTTTGTGCAACAGGATTTTCTGGTTAGCTCTGAAAAACTTGAAATAGAAGTGTTTACTACGGTAGATAACTGAGGGCATCCTTTGGAAATGGGAGTTTTCTGTACTCTTCATCTTCCATAGTTTCGGCGTAGTATCGGTTCTCTGAATACTTACCTGTAGACTTTGGAGAGAAAAATAACAAATGTATGTTGTTGTTTTTTTGTCACATGTAATTAATTGAAGTGAACCTGATCTTTTTTTCATTTTAATACAATTTACCTTTTAATCGACGAAGATAACTTACAACGAAAACGACAACAAGCATTTTTCTTCGTTATTCGTTCTTATTTCAGTTTCTTACCATTATTTTGTTTCATTCTTGAGAGGCTAAAAGCGTTTCTTTCATAGTTTTATTTCTCATTCTCAACGATTGTAAAATTGTGCACTTCAAAGCTACCATAATTAAATCACCATTCTTCTCTTTTCTGTTATGTTCAATGGATATAAAAGTGATTGATTTCCTTCGCTTATTGATTCTTTTAGTCAACAAAGAATAACAACCACACCATCTTTCTCACTCAATTCATTTCTGTTCTCTTATTCTGTTCCTATAGTTTCAAAATATGCAGCACATACACTGACATTTATGCTCCATATCTAAACAAGTCCGAGACCTCCATCTATCACCGTTCGGGCGTCGCAGAATTTCTCCAAAGGCACCCTATCAGGCGACCTTTGATGCCTGGCAATCTTGGAAGTGAATTGAGCATAGGTTTTTGACTATTCTAAACCTCCCGGCAATGTTTATTTTTAGAAAAAACTTCAAAACCCTAGTAGAAACCTATACTCTGTTAAATATATCAAGATATACCCTATTTTATCTGCACGACACCTTGGTGTTCACTAAAAGTTTTAAACATCAAGAGAAAATACTTTGGTTTTTGACAGATTTTCTAGAAATCTTTCCAAGTAAGGGAATATTTTTTCACTAATCCTAAGTACAGACCAGGTTGAGAAGATAAAATAGAGTATATCTTCATATTTTGACGTAATCTGGATCGATTTCGATGGATTATGAATTTTTTAATTTACGGTGAAAATAGTGAAAAATGCATTATTTAACATCGTGACAACCTATGCTCAATTCACTTCCGAGATTACTAGGCATCAAGGCCCTAGTATAAATTGTCAAGCATAGATGTTAGTGTATGTTCTGCATATTTTGAAACTATGGGCTACTGTGGAAATCCCGGAACCGACAGCGTTGCCTACGGAAGATCCGTTAGGTACACTACCTGTTGACAGGATTTTGGACCTGTTATTTTTATCAATAGATATCCTCGAGTGTCTTCTATAAACTGACAAAAACCGCATCTCTTTATCGTTTGTGTATCAAACGTAATTCTGGCAAAGAGTTTTCTGCATTATATCTTTTACTGGATAATAGTAACATGCGTACAACAAACGTTCAGTCAAATATGAAAAGCACCATAGTTACAGCTAGATCTTGGGAAGTGGTCACCCATCCTCTTACTATTATCCATCCCAGAATACAGGTTGCCATTTTTTGAATAGATCAGAGGGAAATGAAGATAGAGACGTGTGGTTTTCAGTTTTGGAGGCTTCTTGAAAACTGTTAAACAAATCTTGCTTTTTCAAATTTCTCGCTTCCATAATGACGTTTAGTAGATAAAATTATCTATATCCTGAAGTTTTCAACTAGTTCTGATGTATTTTGAGTGAGTTATGAATTTTTTAATAGTAGCTGAAAACAGCCGTAAAAGACTAGTTTTCGTAAAACCTAGGTTTCACTAGGTTCTAAAATCTTTTTCTAAAAATAGACATTGTCACGGTACTCAGCATAGTCGATAACCTATGTTTTCATGCATTTCTGATAGTCCCAAACGTATTGATACAGGAGCCCTAGCGTTTCAGGAAAAAAGTTAGCGCCTCATCCATGGTTATGCAAAAAAATCAATAGATTGCTATTTGAATTTGAGAATATCCAAGCCAGTTTTCCAAAAATCCTATGGAAAACGACCTTCGGAATTTTTCCGGAAACCGATTTTACTTTTGAAAAGATAGCTTCAGATATCTAGTTCCCAAAACTGAATACTACAGGTCTCTATCTTCATTTCTTTTTGAGTTATTCAAAAAAATGGCAACCTGCATTATATTGTGGAATGGATAATAATCGTAGTTTTGACACAATAGAGAAAGACGCTACGTCACAATTCTCTATTTTACTTTGACTAACCTCATAATGGTACATGGTTTGATCTTCAGAAGTGGTCATCTATCCTCTTATTAGTCACAGTGGAGAAAGATAAATTATTAATGTCGTACTAGTTTCACGCACGAATATTGACTAGAAATGATCACCGAAATTTAATTATTTCGCTGCTGGTAAATTTGGTGATTAACACACATTTTTGCCTGATGTAACAGCAGATTTGTGGCAGTACTTGATATAAAAACGACAAATGTAGCTGTTACGATTGTCAAAAACATGGTTAAAACTACCGTGCCAGTACACACTTTGCATTGATTGATAAATATAAAATACTTTATTACAATCATGTTTATATTCAAACTCTTCAAAAATCAGCTTGATATGAATAGGTAAATCGACCATTAGGAGCGGAATCTCCCTTGTCGATAAAATACATTGCATCTCCATACAGCTGATCAGCTGAGAACCATTTAAATTTAAGATTAATCGGCGAACGAATGTTTAACGCTAAATGAGGAATGGCAAAATGAAGTTCATTATCGCCGCTATTCACCACATGTATTGATTCCTGGTTAAACCAAAACCCTCCACCACCATTTTTCTTCAACCGACTGTCGCCTACATCCACGACATAATCAAATCCATACCAGCCGGTATTGTAGTTATTATCAGTGTTCAAATACAGCCACACGTACTGATTCCCATTTGTCCACGGACGAGTTGAACGAGCGTAAAAGTAGAGATTTGACGAATCGCGAGCTACCTGCATTACCGCAAGATCATTCTTCTGACTATAATCGGTGAGTTGCACATGTTGTGCGCCGTATTGGGGATGATTTCTAGACGGAATATCCCACAAATCATCGGTGTAATGAGGTCCGACACCCTGCCACTGGGAAAAGTCTTGATTGATGGTGATTGTTTTCGGACCCGTAGGTAATTCTGGGCGTCTTACACCTTTGAATTTTCGAATATAGTTGACGAGTTGATAGTAATAATTATCGCCGTGTCCGCCTGCCATGGGTTCCGCATCACGACTAAACTCTTGATCAAACTGATCAACAAAGTACGACGTACCTATCGGCCAGTGCTTACCAAGAAATGGGATGTTTAACTCGTTCGTCTGAACAAAACGTTGCGCTATCCATTCATTCCAACCTGTAACGAAAATGAACGATGGATCGATCTGCAAAGCACGATCCCACTGCTGCTGAAAGTAATGACCGACGTTAGCATTGCTTTGGGCTGGTTGAGTTTGCGTCGGTCCGTCGTATGATCTGCCGAGATTCGATGTTGGGTGACCTCCAATGGCGACGCATGTTTGCTCTGTTTGTCCCCATTCATTCTTTCCCAAACCTTGTGGATAATTATCAATCCACGGCCATCGCCCATTGCCATTGCCATACCAACCATCTGGACCTGTCCACGCCCAACTTTTTCGGACGGTAAAGAAATCTTTCAATTGCTGTGAAAGTCCATCAAAATCCGCGAACAGTAGCGGTTTTCCATTCCATCGAAACCACAAATCTGAATATCGGTTCTGACTGTATAAAACATTATACAGATGTTGAACAGTTTGAGCACCATTTGTCCAAGCAATGAACGTGAACTGTGGCACTTTGATTCCTTGAGCACGCATATCAGTGAAAACATCGCCAATTTTTGCCCAGATATTATCGTACGTATAGCCGTTTGTCACATCATAGATTAGTGTATCGATACCCGCATCAGCTAACATTTGAGCGTGTTTTCGAATAACAAATTCATCATCCTGCAAATAATAGTCGAAATACGGTTTAGACCAATGATGAAATGTGTACAACGGTCCCCACTGAGCATTGATAATATCACCACCTGATTGTTGTAAAATTTTAGTCACATCAAATGGACCAGGCTTGGAACCTTCATTCCACAGAAAATAGAAAATACCGACAAATTTATTCGATTTTATGTCACCGACTTCATCGTGACTAACTAGAGCACGACCAAGTCCATCCGTAGCAGACCAAGTATCTGGTTGAGAGTGATCGCCACTCACAAAAGAAACAATAATAGAGGACACTAGTAGCAGCAGCCTCATTCTTCTTGAGAAATGTATAGTTTTACAAAACAGACTGCAAGAATCAGAGGAGTGATTATTCAGAGATTAGAAAGAAGTAATTGCTTTTTCACCTTGAATATATTGATTCTGTACAAACGTGCTATTTAAATGCTCGTATGACATAATACAATAATATGTGTATAAAGATTGAGACTACACTTTCATCACATTGAAAAAATATCTTTCCGTAGATTATGTTTAAACTTGCCCATTCTTTCTATAAGAGTACTATTCTCGCTAAATATTGCTCAAATATCTTTTCGATTTTAAGTAGTACTTATAGAGTGAGATTTTTATTGGCCTATATGAATAATTTCTTCGAGCAAGTATGGATAATATTAACCTCTTTTTAATTATAATACAAAGCTACAAGCTAATGTTTTGAAATACTCGTTATGGAACACAGGAATACAAATAGTTACCCAATCTAGATCTAGTCTAGAAATCTGTCTCCACGTTAGAAAATTTTTAGAAAATTAGTCAAGTGCATGTCGATGTTTGTCGTTCATCGACTAGATAAACATTGGATTTACAGAAAGGTTTTCTATTTTCAGATACGGTTTTTCGTAGCCCAATTCTTGTCCGGGAAATCTATTGTTTGGTTTTAGAAAACCAGACAATAGCTAAACTTATTTGATCGCTTATTGTCTCACATAATACATATAGGCCATACTCATCTTCTCTACAGAAATATGTTTCATTAACATTAACATATGATAACCATTGCCCATGGCTACAGTGACATTTGTTTTGAGTGAAAACGAATTTTTCTTGGAAATCTAGTATTAATACTAGTCGATTAACGGGTAAAAAGAAAAATTTTAAGCATAGCACCATGCAGCGTTTAATTCTACAAAAGATTGGGATATTAAAAATGCATCAATTCGAACATGATAATTTCCACAAGTTCTTACTTAAGGATAAAACAAATATAAAAAGAATTGTTCTAAAGCATCAATATATGGATGTTGAATGGTTTGTTCATAATCAGTACTTTGTTAATTCTCAGTACATATTCAGTCAAAGTATAATCTAAAAAGATAGCTGGTTATAAAGATGAACGAGGTGTGTTTAATTGAAATATAACTGAAACTGGTTCTTTCTGATATTCACACATGTCACCATAATAACTGCTGGACATTCATATTTCCAATATGGGTTCTTAAAGACAGCAATTCCACGATTAGAAAATCAAGATCTATTATCGGTGGTTCGTTTGACGCTTTTTTAACTTTATTTTCTAATAAACTGGGAGCAAGGCAGAGATGGGTAAGTCCGAGTCGTCGACTTGAGTCGTATTTTTCTATGACTTGAAAGTGTGAAAGGAACATGTAAAAAAGATGCCACAAACTCAAGTAGCCTGAATCGAGTATGGCGTCTGTCTTTGCTATTACCTTCTTCTGCCAAAATCATGACTCATCCTTTCACATACTGAGTGAAATGTATCGACACATTTTTAAAGCATATGAAATAAAACTTGGGTGAGTCTATTGGCACTCCCGGGAGTGTCAACTAGAAGCTATTGGCACTCCCAGGGAGTGTCAACAAGGGGCTATTGGCA